AGGACATTCAGATAGATGGCTCACCTTTGGCCTGTGTATTCTCATGTGAAAGCCACTTCAGCAAAACTCAGGAGTCCAATTCAGCTTTGCTGTAACTGGTCATGACTCTCTTGACTCCAACAATGCTTCATATGCTTACCCCAAGATTGAATTTATCCCTGTGGCTTCTCGGTCACTGGTCCTCCTTTCCAACTCGGAAACTGCCTACATAATAAAAGTGATTCATTAGAAACCACTGGGTTCCAAAGTAGAGTGAACACTGAGACCTATATCTTTTTTATATGTGCTCAGTCATAAAAATGAATTTATATGGTAAATATTAGCCCTGCAACCATACTTTCATGAGCTGTAATCTTGTCAAAGCTCATAAGTTAAGCAAGGTCAGAATTGGTCAATATTTGGATAAGAATCTCTGGTGGGGAGGGGAAGAAAAGAAAAGTATATATACACTGGAGGTCCTGCAGTGTTTGTAAGTTAGAACATACTGTGCTCCTCTTTAAAAATATTTGATATCAGTCTTAGAATACAACAAAATGTTGCATTTGCTTTAGCAATAGATTAGCCTCTGGCCACATCTCCACTGCATCTTGGCAGTTTCAGCTGATGTCCTTCCCCAGAGATGAATGGGATGTAGCAGATTAAGTTTTCTCTCCTCCACACCCCACTTCAACCCGGGAGGTTGGTACCCAGAAGTACCAACAAATGCCTCCACTGCTACCCATGCCCCTTTCCCTGAAGGAGTTTGTTGCTACTGCTGCTATTATTTATGCATTCTCTGTGCTTTATCTAAAAAAATATACTTAAGAAATATATCTCTATACACAAGGAAAAAACCCAACACCACTCTCCCCTCCTTATCTTCTCCCATAAATAGCTTCCTCTAAGTATTTCATGCTCTTCCCTGCTTTGAGATCTTCCTTAAGGCAGCTCTGCCCCTCTCCCAGATGCGCACAGTGTATTGCTGAAGTGTCTTTAACCTTTTCTTGTGCTGGAGGAGCTTTCATGAAAGTAGAGCTATACCTTGTGAAAGGGTGCTGTGGGCAGAGCAGTACATAGTCCCAAAAGACACTTAAATAATTGAAGGTGGTAAGGAAAAGTCACTGCTATACAGCAACTTTCTGACAAACAGCTTAGTCACACACCTGAGGTAATATATGGATGCAGAAGGGAACTGGAAACCCATCTCGGTTTTTCCTAGTGCTGGAGCGCGCAGTGCCAGCATGACTGCTCCTCCCCCACGCTTTATCACGGCTACTACGAACAGCTTTTACAGTAAAGGGGATAAAATCCTGTACCTATGGCTGCATAGCAAGGCAGCTGCATTGCAGTGGAAGGACTGCAAGTGGACATTGAGGTCCTAGACCTCGGGAGATGGGAACTCTCCCAAGCTGCGGTTCCCTTACCACCGAGCCCAGCTGCCTGCCAGCCCACAGCCTGCCTGCTGCACCAAGGAGACAAGGAAAAAGGGTGTTTCTGGAACTACTGAGTTGATGTGGGGGTATCCTTTGTCAAACCGTTGAAGACCAAGCCTCTTCCTAGTAAGGCAAATAATAAATTAGGCATTTAGAACCTGGATACCAAATTAGACAGATCACTAGCAAAGCTCTTTGTAAGAGGCATGCATCAAAAATAGTGGCGTGGAAGAGCAGTACATCAAGGGGTTCTCCTGCAATAAAATGGAAAGTAAAAACTGCAGCCGGGAGGTAGAAAACCCTGATGAGGCTACAGCCAAATAGCTTTGGGGATAAATTGGTGGTTTAATCCGGATCAGGAACAGGTGCTATGAATGTAATTCAGTAAATGGTTGAAAGTCTGCCAGAAGGGAGAAAAATGTGTTGCTTTTGAGATAATTTCCCAGAAGCTGCATAAAAGCAAATTGATTACTGGAGTTTAATAATTAAAACAGGGCCAGATATATAGTAATCAAATGAGTTTTTAATTACATCTCAAGAAGAAATAAAATCCAATTTGTGCACTTGGTATCAGAGAAATCCTACTGAAATGCTTTGCTAGCTGGAAAAAAATAAAATAAAAGCTAATTTCCATAGGAATTATAGTAGTCAGTTTAATTAAAAGACTAGATCAGAATGAAAAAGTCCCAAAGCGAAAGGACACTAAATACAGAAGCAGTGGTTCAAACATCAAATCAATGTCTGAATAAAGACATTTTATAGACCCGGTGGAAAATCTGCACTGTCAGGTATCCCTAATCTAAATTAATGTGTAACAAAATAAAGTTTCTAAAAATTACACTATATATTTTGTAGGTATTCCATTGAATTAATTGCTGGTGCTATGGTAAAAATTAATATCAAAGACATGGTTTATTCTTTCTTAAATACTCCTTTTAATCAATTTCATCAAAGTTAATGTTAGTAGTTTACCATTCTCGTTATTTACCTGGTGGCTTCTGTTGCATCTGGGTTATTAGACTTGAATGTGCACTTAAGTCTGTATTGTTAAGAAATATATGTGTATTTACTTTTGGATTTAAAATATGTTTACAGCTTATAAGACAACAGTGATTACTGTAAAACTGTGGGGTCCTGAATACATTCCAAACCTACTCAGGCTTCTGTTCTCTGCTGTAGTTGATGCAAAGCTTATTGATCTAAGCACCTCAAGCACTCACAATCCCCTTGGCACTGTAGGTGACAGGGCTGTCTCCTGCCACGAGAGCATGGCATATGCTGAGGCCTGGAGGGCCAGGCACAGCATGCCCAGACCTCTCTGTTTGCTCTCTGGCACTGGTCTTGAAAACATCATGGTCTTGTGGTCAGTCATGGTAAAAAAAAGGGTACAGAAAGGACACAGATATAGCCGAGAGCTGCAGAGCCACACGGAGACAGAGTCTGCTGTCCCAGTGAACTCCATCTCCTCTGCGTTGCCTGTAGCTGGTGTAGCATTTATAACAGGAACAGCCTGTACTGCAGTTTGTGCTTACAGATCCTGGGGCTGACAGGGTGTGAGTGCAGAACACCATCCTTGTGCTCAGAGAGATTTGAAATACATTGATTTTTAAATACTGATTTAACCACCAGGGGTGTGTGTATACATATATATATATATAGTTTTTAATTTAAAATATATATTGGAAAAATACTTCACAAAAACTCTTGGAAGATTTAGGAAATACCAGCGAGCTTAACTGACAGGTGATGGATGCTGGCTTTGCACAGAAAGGATCTGGTAAGTTGCTGTCAAGAGTTGAGTGTCTAATGTGCTACCTCTAGACATTGAGCTGGCAGTGGTAATGTGAGTGCTAATGGTAACAGGAGTGAGATTTTCAGGTATTTTCAGCTGTTTATAATGTATTACTGCTCCTTTGGTTTGGACTCCACCAAATCAGGTTTAAGGAATTCACAGTGGTCTGAAATAAAGACATAAAAATGGAGAGTTCTGAAGCATGGTGATGGGAATGTTAAAAATGTAAAATCAATGACCATCACAGAGAGCAATACAATATGGGGCAGAGAGTGCAGTGAACTCTGCCTCTTACCCCAGGCCCAAGTTTGCAAAATAATCTGCCCAGTTTGTGCCGTATTCTGAGGAAATAATTTCAAATGGATTTGCATTGAGTTTCACACAAATCAGCTTCTTATTCATTGTGTGATTTTGCAGAAGTGCTGAGCATTCATATTTCCTACCGAAGTTAACTGAAACTGCAAGTTTTCAGCACATCTTAAAATCAGACCATTAACCCTTAATTACCATATAATAGCTCAATTAAAAATCTACCAAGAATTACTTCAGAAGCAAGTCAAGCTCCCATGACTTGCAGACTAGCTATAAAAAAATTCAGTCCTTTAGTGGTGTTTGGGCTCTGGGGACCATTTAAAACAGTTGCTGTTAACCGTGCTGTTTAAAACAAAAAAAATCAACTGCAAAGGTACCTACTTCCCCTTTCCTTTCTTTTCCATACAATTTTCTGCACTTTTAGAAGTGCAGAAAGAACTTTTTCTGTCTGTTTTGTCTTTTTTTATTTTTTAATTTTGCACCAACCCTTTCTTTCAAATGACAAATACGTACTTTCCATGCTGTCAGAAAAAACATGCTTCCCAGCACTCAGCAAACCCCACTTCTTGCTAGTTAGAAAAGTTGCAAAAGAAGTATACTTCTCTGTCCTGAAAGGACACATGACATGACTTCTTGGGAGGTAACTGGTTAACCCTTTCTTCACATGCAGTGCTGCTGTAAATGAGGTTCTGTCTCTCTTTAATGTAGATACAAACCCGAGTGAAGCACTTGTGGTCTTTTCACATAAGCATTTGATATTAAAGGGGAAGGTAAAATAAACTTCTAATAAAGGTATGCAGGAATTACATAATTTGGGAACTGTATCAAAGCCAGATGAAACCAGATAAAATATTCTTACTGGCCTCCGTGAACTTCAGACTGGGTATATAGAAGAGATGTGATTTCAGTGCAATCTCAAAGAAAAACTCATTTATTTTTCTTTATTTTGAGCACAGAGTTTTGGGGGGTTTTGTTGTTGTTTTGTGTTTTGGTTTGGTTTGGTTTGGTTTTTTGCCAGCTTGGCAAAGCACAGTACTGTTGAGGTTTACTCATCTGTAGGAAAAAATAATCTAGCACCAGGGAGATTATTTCAGCTTTGTCAAACTTGTCATCCAACCAGTGGAACCCCTGCTTATAAATGCTAGCAATCAGATAGTCCTTTTGAGGAATCCCTGTATCCCTGTGCCTGAGGCTATCTTTACAGATTACCAGAAAGCTAAAGTAGTTGAGCAGCAACTCTGCCATTTTATGTGAATTTTTTTACATTTTTGATGGCTTACTAAAAACCCCAGGTGAAATGAGTGAGATAGATGAAAAGATCTCAATGGGAACAATAACCTTTACAAGTATGTACACCTAGGGGCAAGGAGGGTATGGTGCAGATTAAACTCTTTTTTTACCCTGTTACTCCATGAACTGTCCATCAAAGGAGTTGATACAGTGTCAGTATTTTTTCATTAATCCTCTTTTTAATCTTCTTTCAGTGTCTAGTGAAGCTGAATGTGAAACTGAAGCCTATGCTGGACTCCGTGGCAGTAAATAGAGGTAAATGGGAGGAGATGCACCAAAAAAGACTTCCTTCTCAGGCGACATCCTCATCCTCCTTTTCCTCTACCTTTACAATGTCTCTCAAAGACATAAATTAAGCCTGCAGATATCAGTGTCACTTTACAGCAAGAGCTTTCTGAAAGGTTTTCATAAGCTTAGACCCAACATTTTGTAAGAAATGATTTTGCAGACATGCTTACTGATTGGATATTATTTTGATGGCAGCATAGTTTGCTTTTACTGGGAGGCTTAGTGGTACTGAAAGGAAGGCCTGCAGTGAGATTGCGCTGGAGATCCGGAGAGACACGGAAGACTTAACATAAGAAGCATTCATTCAGCTCCACTACATTTCAGCTGCTGCTGTAAAAATCCGTAAAGCTGACAACAGACTGAAATATAAGAACTCACAGCTTAATAAAATTAATAATACAGAGCAGAACTGGGATGCAAGATGGCCAATTCATATGCAAGGAGCTGCAGAAAACAGAATAGTATGTAATTACATTGTTGTTTTGCATCTCTTCAGTACATGTTATGAATCAATTATGCCTGCTTTTGTGATGTTCCTTTCCTACTCTCCCTTCTCTTTTAAGCCTGAACATTCTGAAAAGCCTGCTTTGTATTCTAAAGAAGTATTTTTTTACAACAGAGCTTCTTAGTGATTGATCAGGGCTTTTAGAATTGCCTACCTTTGCTACATTTAAAAAAAACTTTATTATCTTTAAAAGCACCAAGCTGTCCCTTCTTCCCTGAGAAATTCATATTAACAGAGCAGCAAATTTCTCAGCGAGGGGAAGTTTGCACAAGGGTAAAACACTGCATGGTAATTTTAGAGTGTTCTTTTTTCTTTTAAAAAAATGCTCTTTTAACACATTAATTTTTTTTTTTAAATACAGTGTCCCTCAAGGAAAAGATTAATGGGCTTTTATGAAAATAGAGTACAAATAAAAAAGGAAATCTGTTGCCTTGTGTTTCAGGTTTATATTACATTGAAAAGTGGACCACGGATAAACCTTCCTGGTATCATTTCCAGTTGAAATTAATATTTTGAAATGGTGAAGAGGGAGAATATCATCACACTGGACTGACTACCTCTTACTCTCTTGCAGGTCTTTCAGTACAATTTCAGATGCTATTACTACAGCTAGCACTGCTCTAGTCAAGGCTTATATGTAGCCATCAGTGGTAGAGGTGTCCATAAAAATCTAATCAAACATGATAGGTCACAAAACCGAGCATTTAGTTCTGTGTGATGACCCTGGTGTTACCTGAAAGTTGGTCTCTTTTCATTAGTGCAAGGATCACTAGTGTAGCAAACTTTGATCTATGATTGAGGGTTCTTTCTCTGCTGCATGACCGGACACAAAAGGAGTCGTGTTGCAGTGCTAACGGGTGCCCATTCCTGGGGGGAAAAGCCTTTGTACTCCATGAAAAATGGGATTCTAATTATAGGGTTGTCTGGCAGCAGAAATTAAAGCTGAATTCAGCTTAGTTTTACACCTGTGCCAAACTCCATTTACTTCAGTGGAATTACCTTGAACTGGCACTAACTTCATGGAAATCAGAACCTGGCCCAGCTGACCAGATGCTAAAAGAGCTTTCCTCCTTTCTAAGGAAAGTGAGTCGTTAGCACCTTAGAAAAGCTGACTACATCTGTCTGACAATCAAACAGAAACAACAGATCTGCTGATCACTTCTTTAAAAGAAACACAATAAAACAAAAAGGCTCTGTGCTTCTAACCACAGCATGTAGGACAATAGCTGGAAATTCAGTAGCATTGTGAGCCAATCTGTTAGTGCACAACAGAACCACATCACTTTCTCTAGCAGAAAGAAGCAGGGAAGGACCAGAAATGCAGACTGCACAGCAGTGAGTACCTGCACCAAATGGAAATGTTTCTGCTATTCTTTTACCACTTCTTTCTTCTCTGAATAAAGACAGACACAATATAGTAAGCAGCAAGCCATACAAACTCACAATACACACATTATGGGAGAAACAAATACTAGGAACCAACAGTACTGCTGGCAGGTATACAGAGATTTCCTGAATTTTGGTATTGCATATTGCTAACTATAACATAATTTATAATGCATACCCTACAACCTTCCCAAAGGTTGAGTCTCCCTTCATTTCCTCTCCTTTTTATTGGCTTCAGTGCACTGTTGCCCATGGCAACACCCACCGGCAGGGATGGGGATTCGGCACCACCGCAAGCTGACACACAGCTGAAGCTCTAACAATGTCAACCATCAATCAAGTGACTGTTTGTAATTGCCTCCATCTATTTCTCCTGTCTTTTGGTATCTTTGCCATTGTGGGTCAAAATTCAGAAACTGCTGACTAATGTTATGGTTCTGCTCCTCCATCACAAGGAAGAAAATGAGAGCACACAGCTCGATCTTATCAAATTGTTCTCAGGTGAAACAAAGCAACCCGGCTGAAACCTGGGGGGGGGGCCCAGCAGTGTATCTCAGAATAGCATTTGGTCTCTGAAACTAAACAAACAAAAATCTTATACTATTTTTTTAAAACAAAAAATGTTGGAGAGAAAATTAAGATTCTTTGGGGAAGCATGCAGTACAGTAAAGAAATGTATTCCAAGCCTATTATATTTTAAGATGGTGGAAAACACTTTTTAGCTACTGCTCAGAAGTTTGATAGGCAGAAATTTTATCTGGTTTTCAGTATTTCCCAGTTTTTTGGTCAGTTTTGCCAAACTCTTCCAAGATATGCACAGGAGAGATGACTGTGTAGATTATTTAATTTCACTGTACATTTTTCACTTCCTTCTCTGCCTGCTGAACAAGGAGACATTAAAAAAGCCATTGAAATCAGCTTAATTCTGTGAGTATGTATAAAACATGGGTCCACAAGAGGTGAGGACAAATTAGAGGGCACATGGAGAAAGCTACTGTTACCCAGGACAGTGCTAGCAAAGTGCTGCTTGGCCTTTCCCTGCAGATGCCCAACACATCAGCAACAGACAAGGAACCACTTACTTGCTCCAGTAGCTAGTGAAAATTTGGCCTTAAATGAGGCTTCTAGAATTTACAATTCCAGTGCTAAAATGCTCTGAGCATGTGGGTTATCCATAGGATCACACAGGCTTTAATGTCCACCAAAGGTGCTTTAAGCTGGTTCAATGGCAATGCCATTTTTCTAGGTGTCCTACTGACTTGTGCTGACTGCCACCCGAATTCAGTAAGGTTTTTAGTCCCATGAAGTAGGGAGCCAGGCAGCAGCCCTCACTTTTTCACCAAAAAATGCTCAAGAGAAGATCTGAATCTTCCTCCCCATCTTCAAAGATAGTTCAGGCCAAACAGTAATTCTACTGAGGATTCCCACCTGTGAGACAACTTACCAAAATCAACCTTTCCTTGCAAAAAAAAAAACCAAAACAACAAAACAAACACAGAACAGTCCTAGAATTGTATAGGGTAATCAGGAAGAAACTTGACACTCAAATCTTCCTTGACTTGGAGCAGGCTTTTGAACTGCAGGGGCATCTTCCCCACCAGCCTGTGGGGAGTCACAAGAGTGGTCTTGTCTCCTGCCCTTCTGCCAAAGCCCCTTACATATGCTCAGCAAGGAGACAAGGATGCCTGCTGAGTACAGCCCCAGTTTCTGCATCACTCCTGGGAGATGCGTGGAGCAGACAGGCTTTGGTGGAAAAGCTCAGGAGAGGCTTATATGTACACTCTCCTGGATTAAAGTGCTCCCCTGCAACATGACACTGTGACCCCACCAGAAAACTGAACACTGTTCCAGGCAAGGAGCACATGGGAAGAGGCTCTGCTGTGGCTCAGGCAGAAGGGTTTCCGACCTCCCAGGAATGAGGTGCCCAAAAGGTGTCTTTGGCCATAGTTCAAGTAGTAAAATAAGACAATTCCCTCCCAGCCTGGGACCTACAGACAACTGAGAACAGCTTCATAACATGATGAAGATGAAGACATCTGCTTCTGTCAGGACATGGTTTTGCTCCTGCTCCAAAGTAGAGTCTCACAGGGTCATGCAGCAGTGGCTCCCAGAAGTTTACACTGGATGTCTCCTGTGGTGCTGGACACAATTCTCCATGGAGCCAAGCCTGACTATTTACAGGGCCAAGGTCTTGCCCGGAAGGTCGATTGTATGTTGTGTAATCACAGAGCAGACAAGGATGTTTCATTTTAGCTCAGGTATTTCTTCAGATGGTGTCCTTGGTACAGCAGCTGCATTTTTCTGGTCTGGTGACCTTGCTAATTTCCCTTCTTAGAGTGCACTGCGATCTCATATGTGCCTGTAGTTACCAACAAAGCCAATACTAGTACTCACAAATTATTTTTGAAAACTGCAACCAGCAGTGCCTAAGGTCATTTGTAGTATTTAGATGAAAAATAGGAGTGTTTCAGTCTTCAGGCCAAGTACTTATCTTCCCTTCCTATTTAATAAAATTAAAGCAATTTTAGTTACTGATAGGTCACTTATGCATTGAGTGAAATTTTAAAACAGGTTTATTTAAAGGTTATGTAAAATATAGTAACAGACACTTCCAATGCTGAGTGTTCTGGGCAAGAAAATGTAGAGCAAGAAGGTTTTTCTTACTGGTTTTGTCAAAGGAATGAGAGATTTAAAGAGTAAAGTCATGTAAATGGTTTCTAACATAGCAATGAAGTGGTAGGTATAAATCCGTTGAAATGAGATACTCCAGAGATTTCCATCACTTGAACGTGCCAGTATTGGAATACATACTGTACATTGCTTGTTACCTTTTCCTTTTTGAATTAATTTAATTACGAATTTGTAAGCATGTTGCCACTGCATCTTACAGTTGTGTGGGGAATACCATCATAGCCCCTGAACTTTTGCCTGTGGGAAACAACTGACACATGCACAGAAGTACGCTGTGTACATTCCAATGGAAGTGAATCTCACATACTTGCAAAATGTGTAACTTTTTAAAAAGACTTCTGCATCCTTTTCCTTTTTTTTTTTTTTTTTTTTGCAATTTAAGACCATTACTCTTATTGTTTTGCTTTAGTAGATCAAACTATGCTGATCCAGCTTTTTAAAGCATGTTTTTGAAATTAACAACTTGGTTTTATTGGTCTCTCTAAAAAAAAAAATAAATAAAACAATTTTATTGTCTTGCTGTGATTTTGTTTTTTGATTATTGCTTTTTTGCTTTGAAACTGCCTTGTTGGGATGACTCAGAGCTGTATCTGTTGATTACTGAATCACACATATAGAAGGTCCTGGAAACACGTGAGACTGAGTGGCCCAGATACGATTTTTGACACACTACCTTGCAAGCAAACTCAACTTCTTCACTGGGTGCACTTGGCATCAGTTTGGAATGACCAGAAACCAAATCTGGACAGTGACTCTTCCAGAGCTGTTCACATGTAGTTACACAGATTATACAGTCTGTGATCTGGATGCATCACTGTTCAGTAGAAATACCATGGGGTAAAAAGTCCCTCCAAAGCGCAGTTACATTGTTGAAATAGTTTCGGAAAAGTTGGAAATTACTTCTAGTTTTTAAAGCTGCAGGAAAGCCAGTGGATTGTGCCAAGGGACAAAAACGCTTCCTGCATTCCACCAGCCGCAACGAACTGCGGATCCTGATGGGCTGTAAGAGGGATGTTTCAGGCTGAAAAAGCCCACCATAGCAATAAAATACTTCCTGTGCTCCTGGACTGCATGTTTAGCTTAGGGTCTGCTTTTACACCACGTACTGCCTAAGGGAACTATCACAAAACATTTAGGAATGCAATTGATTTTTACTCTTTATTCTTTCCAGCTGCATGAGATACCCAAAGGAGGGGAAAATCCCGGTCTAGGCGGCGACTTCAGGAGGCTCGAGCTCTTTGAGGCAGTTTGGAATCTGCGCGGGAGACAGGCCGGGAACACAAGAGGGCGGGCGAACGCAGGGAACGTTGTTGCTCTCCCGGGTACCAGCCCCCACCGGCACCAGGGCGGCCG